CTCACTTCCTGTCGGCAGAGGCGATGTTGATGGCGTCCATCACACCTTTGATGGCCTCTGTGATCTGCCACGCTCTCACCGTGTGCTGCTCAAACTTGGTCTTCACTGCAGACTGAGAGATGAACTCCTGTAGAGGTCAAAGGTCACACTGTCACATCCTGTCACATCGTTGTTTTTGGCAAATTAATGAATTTTTGCACGAGTTCAGACATCGAACCTCAAACGTCCTCTCAAACCTCTGGAACTCTCTCAGCCTCTCGTGGAAACCCTCAGCCAGAGCGCCCCCTGCAGCACGAGGAAGGACGATGGTTGTTTCACTTTAATAACTCTCATGATTGTGTGTGTGTGTGTGTGTTTCTTCTGCTCATGTGCAGCTCCACATTTTCACTCTTGGCCTCCATCAGAGCAGCTCTGCATGATTCACAAAGTAATCCTCACCTCACGTTCTAGAACCAGATGTTTTAGCTCCTCCCCCTTTGTGGGAGGCTGCCAATCACAGATAGACAGTTTGGCTGAAAAAATGTGTCATGCATTTGAAATGAGCGGATGTGAAATGAGCAGAGGCTCCTCCCACTGTCCCTCACCCATCTCACCTGTCTCACCTGTCTCAGGCATGCCCTGTGCTCGCTGCATCCTGGCGCTCAGAACCTCTTTAGCAGAGACGAAGAAGATCCGCCCCGCGGCGTCATCCAGGCCGACCACCTTCAGCTCGTCAGCGAGGAACCCCACGCAGCGGTCCAGGTGCTGGTTCCTCACCTGGACAGCAGGGGGAGCGGTGCGTTTCTACCATAGCATCCACACCTACAGTGCAGGCGAGTGAGATGTTGTCCTGCTGCCAGTGGCTTTACTTCGATCTCAGAGAATAATTCTCCTTCCAGCCTGACTTACACCCAAGCAGGTAACAATAAAAACAGCAGCGTTCATTAGAAGGAGGACGTCTGTGCGCTGAAGCTCTGAGGTGATGCACAGGAACGGGTCACCTGCAGAGCTGCACGGCGCCGCCACACTCACACATGTCGGGTGTTGCTATCCTCGTGGGGACCTCCCACTGACATATTGCTTTCCCTAGCTGCCGACCCTAACCATCAAAGATGAATGATGAGCCTAAACCAGCTAACCATAACCCAGCTAACCATAACCATAACCCAGCTAACCATAACCATAACCCAGCGAACCATAAACCAGACACTCAACCCACATAGGAAGAACCAGAACACACACACACACACACACACACACACACAGAAACACACACACACCTCTTCGATGTAGTCTGGTTCGGTCACTGAAGCGTCCCATCTGTTGTGGAGAATGAAGATGTTCGGTTTGGAGATTTTTTCGCTGACTTTGTGAAAGAAAAGTTTTTCCTGCAGGCAGAATTGAATTAGTTATTCCACTTTAACAAAGACAGCCACTCACACGCAGCCACTCACACGCAGCCACTCACACGCAGCCACTCACACGCAGCCACTCACACGCAGCCACTCACACGCAGCCAACCAGGCTGAGTCGTGTGATGAGTCGTTTCCTCACCGTGTTCATCAGAGTGGACTCTGCATTTCCCACCAGAACAAAGACGTCTGCGTCCACACAGAACTTATCGATCCAGCTGTCCAACTCCAGGGTGACATCGGTGCCAGGGCTGGGCCAAGAGTCAAAGGTCAAAGGTCACCGGTGTTAGTAAGTACTGGTACTGGCACTTTGACTAAATGCAGTTGAAACTGAACCCTGTGGTTCTGACACAGAATATTATTTAAGTGAATCGTCATCAGTGGGGTCAAAGGTCAGGAGGAGGGAGCGTTACCTGTCCATGAGCACCAAGTCGTCTCTCAGCAGAGCGCAGCGACTTTTAGGCCAGAAGACTTTGACCAGTGTACCCGAGTCCAGAGTGGGATCCATGTGGAGAGCATGAGCCAGCTGGTTCACCGTCTGAGGAGGAAGGAAGCAGCGAGTCATCACCACACGCCAGCGGGCGTGTCACGAGCATCGTGATCACCGCAGGGTTTCTGTCACCTCACTCACAGTCACGCTCCTCCTCTCGGTGGACGCCTCGGTAATGAGGAAAGCCTCGTCTTCGTCGGTCCCTTCGACGCTCAGGAAACAGTTGGTGGTGTGACCGATGCCGCTGGGCAGCACTCGGTCTCTCAGCATGGCGTTGATCACTGTGCTCTTCCCGTTACTCGTCCTGATCCACAGCAAATGTACAATCATTATAATTAATATGAAAACCTTCAACGATGCTGACTAACACCAAAACCTTCATCTCAGCGCCCGCTGCATCATCGTGGCTCAAACCGAACGAAACAGCGAGCAGGTTCGGCCTTCAAAGTCGGGCAAGAAGCAGTATGACAGCACAAGAGCAGCACCACAGGTCAGAGGGCCTCACCATCCTCGGGTGAGAGCTGACGAGTTATTACATCACCCAGTTTATCAAGTGACGGTCGTTACATCATGAGTTTCTGCAGAAATCCACGTGTCCGACTGTGAGCGTGCCTCAGCCGGGGTCGCAGATAAACCTTATCAGTGTGTTCAGCTCTGCTTTCACAGAACAAACGTCGGTTAGCTGGTCTCAGCTTTTATCAGGCTCTATCCACACACACACACACACACACACACACACACACACACACACACACACACACGCTGCTGCTGGAATCAGAGCTGAGGACAAACGGCTGTAACTGTAACGCAGCGTCCCCGGAGCTCTGAACTACGAGCTTCCGTCACCTTTGATGCAAACTCAATTTCTTTGTTTCATCGTCTCAAGTAAAAAATGAGTTCAAACGTCACAAGCATCAACATGTGCTGCTAAAAAATGGAGCGCCAACAAACAGTACAGATCCTCTACAGTCCAGCAGGGGCAGCAGTGAGTCAGTCCCAACAGCCTCCCAACATGTTTACAGCTGGACACACTCACTGTTTGGGCTCTGTGGAGAATTTCCTCCTTAAAAGCTGCAGGATGGTTTTAAATCGCTCACGTGGAGCTGTCACTGTGCCAGTGATTCAATATGATGAGAAAGGGCGGGTCTGGCTGAGCAACCACACCCTCATCGGCTAACGACTTGTGATTGGAAAATTAGCCAATGCCACAGTGGGTCAAAGAGTGATATCAGCCTTTATTCTATATTCATTAAGACTCAGAACGAATGACTGAGCTCGAAAACACAGATGTCAAAGGTCAAATAAATTAATATAATTTGATCCTGTTCATTTTTTTAAATATAGCATCCAATCACAATAACAGTCGCCTCGAAGCACTTTATATTGAAAAGGATTCCCAAAGTGTGGTCTGGTGCCCCCTGGTAGGCTGCAAAGGTACTGCAGGTGCCTGCAGCAGTCAGTTTGAAATAACCAGTGTTGGTCAAGTTGAAAAAAGTAATCAGTAACTAGGGCTGATTTCTAGAATCGATTCAATTCCAATTCACAAGGTCCCGAATCGATTCGATCCACGATTCGATCCACGATTCGATTTAATTCGATTCGATTCGATTCGATTTGAATCTGGGAAATTTTGACAGTCAGAAATATTATAATTCAGATCAGTACATTTACATATTTTTGTATCTATTAAAAGGAAGCTGACACACGCAAGACTTTATCAAAGGTGTGAGCATCACAGTAGAGGCCTTTGTGTCAAAGTAGCTGAAGATAAAACACAGAAAAACATGAAGTTGATTTTCCTGGCCTGGATTTTATAAAAATATTCTGCAGTACATCAAAAATGAAAGAAAATCATTAATGAACACATGAACATTACCTCTGAAGTTACAGCGGTTTTAAAAAGTTTAAATTTGTTCAATATTGAACGGCAGAAATTAGGTTTACTTTTCGGAAGTAAGTAAAAGGGGAAAAAAAAACCGTCGGCCGACAGCGCTGTAAACAACGGTAGACTTGTGCGTAACAGGCAAGCGAATAATGCAGAAAAGAGAGAGAGAGAGAGAGAGAGAGAGAGCTGTGCATGAAGTGTGATTTTTATCCTGAAAAGTCAGCAAAAGTCAGAGGGAATTCATGACGATGTTTATGTGAAGCATAGTTTGGATCTTCTTTTGCTGCTGGTTCGGTCAATATTGTTTGGAGAGAGATAAAACTAACAGCCATATGATCAGCGCAAAAAGGGCGTAAACACCCAGCGCGGACCCGCGGATCAGAATCAGCGAGCTGTCGGCTTTCAGCCCCGACCGTCAGCTGAGAAACGCGACATCTCAGTGATTCTGATCCGCGGGTCCGCGCTGTGTGTTTACGTCTTTGTGCAGGAGCCATGTACCTGCTCTCATTTACTGTCTTAGCTGTTTGGTGGTTGTTGAAATTTTGTGATCTTTCGCCTGAGATTCTGGCATTTCGGGCAAAATAAATTAATATTAAAAAAATCGATTCAGGATTTTAATGAATCGATTTTACGTTATCCAAGCCAGAATCGATAAATCGATTATAAAAACCCACCCCTATCAGTAACTAATTACGGATTACGTCCCCAAAAAAGTAATCCCGTTACTTTATTGATTACTTATTTTCAAAAGTAAATAGTTACTTAGTCACTTAGTTACTTTTAAAAACACGATTTACAACCTGAATAGGTGATAAAGCGATAGATCTTTCAGCCCAATTCTACCTTTTCTACATAATCCTTCATACAAAATGTAACCAAACTTGTTTTATTAGTTTTAATCTTTTAACTTTATGCATCAAGCAAAAATTTAATTATCTGCAACATTCTCTGACTGGAAGACATTAGTTTAACATTTAAACCTATTTTCTGCACATTCCAGCTCATAAAATAAAATATTTTTTGTGTTTACACTCACTCTTTGAAATAGATGCAAGTAAAACACAGCAGAAAATAAATAAAGTCAAAGACTCAGCGGTCCTGTTGCTCTATTTTCATCTGTAAAGCAGGAGTGGGGTAGGCGGAGGTTTACGCTGGTGCAGGTGTGCCGCGGTCAGTGGAAGAATCCGCGAGTTTCTCTGTGAGTTTCCCATTACGTCGTAGCTACTCGGTGCTTGTTTGGAAGTTTAGGGGTTTTTTCGCTGCAAAAAGAAGTTTTCTTCCCACGCACAGCGGACACTAATGTTTTTGTCACTTTTTATGGAATCAAACTCAAAGTAAGGTCAGTACTTCCACGCTTTAAACGCTGCACGCTCATACTCTCTCTGCACTCGATATGTGATCCATTGTTGATCTGCACACAGCTGTTGTCACTAACGGCGCACTCGCTTACGTCACTGTCATGAGACATTCTCACAAAGAAATCACGGTTTTAGTAACGCAGTAACGCAGCGTTCCTACGGTAAAGTAGCGGTAATCTAATTACCTTTTTTGCAATAGTAATCCCTTACTTTACTTGTTACTCGAAAAAAGTAACTTGTAGTTACTTGTAATGCGTTACTGTAATCCGTTACTTGTAACACATTACTGCCCATCTCTGGAAATAACTCACGTGTATGTTCTGTTAAATATTCATATAAATCGATTTATTTAGAAATAAAAAGGGAATTATTACTTGAGTTTGTGATGTCACTCATTACTCTGACATAAACTTACTGCTAATGTACTGAAGGCAGGCGGATTGATGTTTTTTGAATGGAAGTTTCAAAGGAAATCCATTATAAGATTGGTTGGACCCTGTGGGGTTTCCTGATTTTTAAGGGGGGCGCAGCACTCTTTACTTTGGGAATAGCTTCAGAGATGCTACAATCATACAGAAGCAAACCAGAAATCATGTGACCCCCTATGAGCAAGCACTTTGGCAATGGTGGGAAGGAAAAACTGCCTTTTAACAGGAAGAAACCGTGAGCAGAACCAGGCTCACAGATTAGGGCACCAACAGAGGCTTTGCAGACATGTGACTCCTTGGCACGTGACAGTAACTTGTCGGCCATTTTGGACATGATAAGAAACCAACTGAGCATCATGTAGACAAGATAAACTGCGGCAACTATGAGTAAACAAACAAGTGTATTTTCTCTCTCAGAGGAAGTACAAGCATCTTACTCATTATGTGGAGAAACTGGGCACGGCAAGGCTGAAGATGAACGTTAGCTTAGGCCCTCTGAGTGTGTTTACTAATGCTGCGGAGAGTAACGATGGCATTCTCCCCAACATCACGCAACACGATATATTTATGTTATCAACAACCCTCAGTTGATACTGGGCAAGATATGAAAATGTTTGAATGCTTGTCAGTATTTTGGGTCAATAAAACAAACTTCAGTCTCTGTAGTCACTGCATCAAGTGGACCACGGTCACTGCTAACAGTTAGCCCCCGTTAGCTCCTGTTAGCACCTGTTAGCCCCCGTTAGCCCCTGTTAGCACCCGTTAGCTCCTGTTAGTCCCCGTTAGCTCCTGTTAGCCCCCGTTAGTTCCTGTTCACTGCCGTACCCTGCTGTTACTGAAACTTTTTGTGAAGTGATATAATATGGGCAGAGTCACACTTTGCAAATAACTAGTTGCTGTCTCCATCTGGTGGCCTTCAGGTAGAATGCAGCACCTTGGCTTCATTTCTCCAACCTAGAAGCTACATCAATGTTTTCTACTGTGTGCAGGCTCACCCGCCTATATTCTGCAGTTTCTGTAAACTGCTCACCTGCCAAAAAACGCCACCTTCATGTGTCTCCTGAGCAGGACATCTCTGATGGTCGTCAGCTTGATGGCACAGCTCTGCATCTCCAAACTCTGCTCCTCCACGGCCACCTGACCCAGGTCCTCGCTGCGCCACGCCTCTGACATCAAACAAACACAGCGAGTAAACTGACAATGAAAATGACAGCGAGTTTTCCTGAGAGGAGCTTCAGATGTTCCTGATGTCAGGGCATCAAAGGCTACTTGCGTACTGAACGGCATGACCTTTGGCGTCCGCTCTGTGGCCACTGCAGCATCAGACACAGAGAGAAGCCAGACTTTATTTAAAGACAGAGCAGGAGGTGCGTGCCGGTCAGCAGAGAGGCTGCAGGCTCTGCATCTGTGGGCAGCACACGCTCGTCCCCATTTCAGACCTGATGCTGAGAACGACTCCAGGAAGCATGCAGACCGGTTTGTACGAACATACACCATCACAGCACCTACAGCTCTGAGTGTGTGTGTTTCTCACCATCCACAAAGGCGCAGCCATCCTTCACAAAGTCCAGCAGCTGGTCAAAGATGGAGGTGATCGAATGTTTCGCAATGACGAAACGTCGCAGAGGAGATGGATCTACGGCATCCATGACACCTACACACACACGAACACACACATGTGATCAGTTCCTTCAGATTCTGTCAAACTGTCATTAAGGTCAACGTGTCTCACTGAGATCTGCCAAACAGATTTCTCTGTGATATCAGTAACGCACACACACACATTCTCACACACACACTCTCACACACAGACACACACACTTACCGTGCTCACTGTGTGTCTCGGGTTCAGAGGTCAGGGTGTTTTGGGGGGTTCGTCCCCGTCGAGTCGGCGCCTGCTCCCATTATGCCTCAGTTCCACTCATCAGACCCGCGACGCTGATCCTCA